TCTGGCAAGCGCACATGCCCTATAGCAAAAACCTCTCAAAAAAAAAAAAAAAAAGAAAGAAAGAAAGAAAGAAAGAAAGAAAGAAAGAAAGAAAGAAAAGAAAAGCAGCACTTCCTGATGGCTTAGAAATCAGGCTGAACAACGCTAAGCAAGGCCACCACACACTGCATAAGAAGAGCCCCACAAACGTGGCACCATTCACAAACAGTTGACAAAGATATGTACGTTCACTATGATGCTTTCCTGAAAGGGGCAGAAAAGTTTCTTGTCCTAACAAAATGTATATTTTATAAAGAGTTTCTCATGAATAGAAGTAAAATATCTTGGGGGAGGTCTTTTCCCAAGTCACACAAATTTGCCCCATGTGCTAGTGGTGGTAAGCTGGCTCTTACCCCTGCCATCCTGACTCTAGATTCCAGCCTTGCCCTGTGAGTTTATGAGTCCTTTTCATGGCCCAAACACATCATAGTAAACCTCCTCCAAGCAGTTAACATTTTCTCTCTCCTCTTAATCCTTGTGATTCCATCTTCCTTATCTACCCCTTCTGTCTCCCTTCTAAATCTGGACCTCCCAACACTGTCTTCGCGGTCACAACAGATCACTTTTTCTGATTAATCTTTCTCCAAAATGCAGAGCTTCTGAGCTGCCCATTGTGGGAACGTGCAAGATCCCATGATCCAGAAAGATTGCAGGACTCTGACCAGAAACTGTATTTATGGAGTCCTCTCTGCTCTGCCGATCCATCTGGAACTGCTCCAAAAGCCTCCTAAACATCAATTTGTAAAACTATTCACTCATATACTGCTCACACAGGGATATAAATCACGTGGAGTCGCCGTTGGCTCCTGCTCCTTTAACAGTCAGCCTTCGGGTCAATTTAGACTGGTTAATGTGCCACCGCAGCAAGCACCGCTACAGATTAACTCTAAAGCTGCATGTGGTTTCACCCTTAAATTCGTTCTAACACCATTCTATAAGAAACCTCATGTGCCACCTAGAAAAACATTGCACAGACAGGGTGCAGAGCTACCTCTGCCAAGGGAAGAGAGTGGGATGAGACAGAACAGGAGGTGAAATACAGGTCTAATAACACTGTATTCCTTTTTAACAAAATCGCCAACAATGATGACAAAATGTTAACTGTCTGGTGAGCACAGTACCTGTGTTATATTATCTTCTGTTCTTGGAACGTTTGAAATGTGCCATAATTAACATTTTCTTTTTAATGCTCTTGGGCTGGTGGTCACATTCTAACTATTCACCAGAGAAGTTTTAGGACATCCTTTGGTGAACACAAAGTCATTGAGTTCTGACCTGGCTGTACCTTGTCTCCAAGGTAAAGTAATCATGAAAGCAGCTGCTGGTGGGACGACTTCTACCACTCTTTCCTTCACAAGCAGAGGCAAATTTTTAACAACGTATCTATTCCGCCACCTAGCCTTCGGCAGCGTCACTGCAACACAGCAGCCTAAAGTGGATGTTCTACAGACCTAGCTTACTGAACTTCCCTTACCTAGGGAGGAACCTAGCAACCGTGCATTTTCTTCAAGGTCACCATAGCTTACTTCGGGACCAGAATGAGGTAGCAGCCTTAATATGCACAACGTGTGCTGGCCTCTGGGAAAGGAACTGATGTCAATATGATGGGGCCTTTTTTTTTTTAAATTTAAATTTATTTACATTCATTCACTACATCATTACAGCATACAAAATTAGATTTTCCATCCAGAGAACACTGTATATCGGCTCAATCAAGCACATCAACCTACATGGGGTCTTTAAAATGGAATAAATGGTATAAATAAGTCTGTCTGAAAGAGTGGTGAGACCAACACAGAAAAAAAGAGAATGAAGACATGACGTTTAGCCGACATTTTTCCTTCTCATTGAGAAGAAACTGTAATACTCTGTGTCCTATTAAAATGTGCGACTTAAATTGTGTTATGAGACATCCTCTTTGCCTTGAAAATCATTTAGAATTAATTATGCATTCTTATAAGGAAAACTCCATCTTTGACACAATCACTCTAGATAATCCCAGGACGCTGAGGATTTTTCTTTGTCTTATGCTTTCTCCGGAAGCCTGCCTCAGAATCCCCTGGACAATTCCTCATGCCATAAACCTATTTCTAAGAGGAGATAAAGAATGATTGTGTAGCGTTTATAGTCTTGCAGAGCAACTTCACTACACGTCCCCCTCTGCCATCCTCCCCAACGATCAGCTCCTGCCACACTGCCCTCCTTCTTTCTCTCCACCTTTCCACCTGCTCTGTGAGTCACTCCCTCTTCTTTTACCGGTCCTCACACTTCGTATTTTCTAGTCACTAAAAGTCATCTAGACAAAAAGACACCATCTCTCTCCAAGTACAGGGTGGCAGGGACTAAGCAACTCCTATTTCTTTGGAGGGAGTCAGGCAATCTCCCTATTCATCTCAAATGCTCCCAGTGTGCCTGGAGCAGGCTGAGCTGCCGAGGGGGTGCAGGACAGGAACAAGGACCGGAACACACACCACACACGGTCCTGCACTCTTCTGGTCTGCACTTGACACAAAGGAGAAAGACACACAATCTCTCTTGCTTCTACATTATTTCAACCACGTTTTTTGTTTGTTGTTTTGTTTTGTCTGTTTGTTTTTATTTTGGAGAGGTTTTTGCTATAGGGTGCCTCTGCTCGCCAGAAAGACAGAGAGAGACAGAGAGACAGAAAGTGAGAAATCATCCCCCGGTGGGGGGATGACCACGCTGCAATCCCTTCTCCTCCATTCTCCTCTCGAGATCTTGGGCACGCATACACACACGCCTGGTGTGAGTTTAAGCCACCGGGTCCAGGACTCGAATCGCAGTCGACTACATGGGAGTTCAGCGACATAGCCATTATGCTAACAGCTGGTCCCTCAACCAAATTTTTTAATATTAATTTGCACCCATCTTACCAAGCCCTCAGACAGAAAAGAGAAGTAATTGAACAGTCTTGCTTCTTTAAAAAAAAAAAAATTTTTTTAAATCATTACACACTGCTGCTTCTCCCTCTCCCAGACAACATCTAAAACCCCTTTGGCAGTATGAGTGAAAGCACAGCTTTAAACTTAAACCTTGTTTTAAAATGTGCCTTTCAGCAAATAGATAAGTGAGAAGAGAGATCAGGATCTGGGGGTGTTAACAGCATAAAGGGAGGTGCTCCTGAACTTAATAAGCAAGAGAAATATTTTCTTAAAAGCAGTTCTCCCAGAAAGAATTCTTATCATAGATAAGGGTGCAGTCTAGTGGCAAACTTTATGAAATGCAGCCCCTTGGTTCCGTAAGGGAGAGTTAAGGTACTTGTCAAGGAAGGGAAATGGAAGGGAAACTGCCCCACCCCAAGACTCCCCAAAGGGCAGTGACAGGAGTCATTTCTCTGAGCTGCCCGTGAAGTCCACAGGTCACCTAGTCAATGTCGGAAAACGCTGAAACCACTACCTTCCTTCTTTCAAGGTTCTAGTTCTCTTTCATTTATTTACTAAGGAAAGAAGGGGTCCATGGTCTGAGTTGAGGTTTCAAGTGGCATAAGGCCTCTGGCCCGAACCTCTTCAGGGCACACCAGGTGGCTCTGTCAGCTTTACTCCTGAATTCACCTGTGAGCACCACTCGACCTTGTATCCAGGTCTCTTGCCCATTCTCTCCACAGAGGTGGACCTGCTGGGGTAGAAATACCTTTCAAACAAGATGGAGGGTGTCACCCCAATCCACCTTCCTTCTCTCTGAAAACCCCCAGCAAAGACACTTGAAGTCACCAGGCAAGGTGTGAAGACTTAACATGTCCTCCATCCAGTCATCAGCCAAATGCCCCTTCTGCAAATGCGCACGTGTGTGCGCAGTTTCCCCCCCCAGTAACAGAGCTGAAGGGAAAAGACCACTGTTTGACCATCTGACCAAAGGCAGTTACCCCACCAGCAATAGAAACACCCTTGATTAAAGCTCCTTTTGCAGATTTTTAGGGGGAAAATCCGTTTTTCTTCTTTTTCCTCCTTGCTTTTGAATTCAGCTCACCACCTCTCACTTACCATCCTACCCTCACCAGTTCCCCAGGCACGAGTGTGCATGTTCTCGCACACATACATTGCACTACACAGTAACTCCAACACTAGCAGTCATTGCACAAAGCTTGGGAAGAATTCCTTGGGCACGCTATATAGACAGTTGGCTAGTAAGAAAATGCTTCTCCCTCCAGCCTGTGCCTTGGCTAGTTAAGGGAAAGGAGGGAGGGGAGACCGAGTTTCCTTCTCATTGTATTCTCCTTGCTCCAAAGAACTCTCCTCCACTCGTCCCCGGCACCTCCTCCCCGCTCCTCTCTTCCGCAGCCTCAGCCGGTCCCCCAAGCCCCTTTCTTACATTCCGGGGGGAGGAGGGCGCTGTTCAGGGAGCGAAGGGGAGCCCCCGTGTGTCTCGAAGGCCTCTCCCCACCCCCATCCCGTGTGAGTTTGTACTGCAAAGCTCCTTGGCATCCTCGCCTGGGTTGGGTGTTGGGAAGCTCAAATTGCAGCTCAAACTGGCTTGCAGCCAGGGGCCGTCTATTTAAAAGCGCCTGCTCGGCCGGAGCCCGTAGTCTCTTTGGAAACTTGTGCCGGGGGAGAGACCTAGGAAAGGGCTGCAAAGCGGTGTGGGCTTTTTCCTTTTTTTTTTTTTTTTTCTCTTTTTAATTCCCCCCTCCTCCATTTGCACCCTTCTCCGGACTTCACGCAGAACCTGCGAATTTCGAAGAGGTGGTGGCAGAGTGGGATAAAATAGGTGTTAGGGCTTGGTTTTTTTGTTTTATTTTGTTTGAACTTCTTGATTTCAACATTTTCTCCCACCCTCTTGTCTACCGCCAACGCCTCTTACCTGTTCCGCGGCAGCCGCGCGCCGCTGGCAGCTGAAGGATAGAAAGAACGGGGTGTATTTTAGATTAGAAACCAATTTTTGAAGACAAATCTGTTTTTCTTTTCCCCCCACCTCAGTCTCCACAGCCTCCGAGTTTATTATTTCGGCGGTTGCTTTGGGGTGAGCAATTTTGTGGCTTTTTTCCCCCTACAATTCTGAACAGATTGGGCTTGGGGCTTTTCCGGCCTGCGCTCATTCCGCGTGCACCTGGCGCGGCTCCCCCCGGCCCCAACCTGTTGCAAGTCTTGCAATCGGGACTTGCTTGCAGGCACCCCAGTGCTCCATCTCTCCCTGCATTTTGCAAGTGTCTAAGGGAAGGCACCTGCCTCACCTGCCAGATTTAAAAAAGAAAAAGAAAAAAAATCTCTCCGGGAGTCTTCTCGGCCCCTTTCTCCCTGCACTCTTGGTCTCCTGCCCCGCCCCAAGGTAAAGGGGGAGACGCAGAGAAGATGGTGCTCACCGCGGTCCTCCTGCTGCTGGCTGCCTGCGCAGGGCCGGCCCAGGGGCTGGGCTCGTTCGTGCAGTGCGAGCCCTGCGACGAGAAAGCCCTCTCCATGTGTCCCCCCAGCCCCCTGGGCTGCGAGCTGGTCAAGGAACCCGGCTGCGGCTGCTGCATGACGTGCGCCCTGGCGGAGGGGCAGTCGTGCGGCGTCTACACTGAGCGCTGCGCTCAGGGGCTGCGCTGCCTCCCAAGGCAGGACGAGGAGAAGCCGCTACACGCCCTGCTGCACGGCCGCGGGGTGTGCCTCAACGAAAAGAGCTACCGCGAGCAAGCCAAGATCGGTGAGCGCGCTCAGTTATGCGGCGCACGGGTCGGGGACACGGGACCAGCTGGGCCCGCGCGCTTTGCGCAGCAAGTGACTTAGAGCTGGGGTGTAGCCTGGGAAGGGTCCTTGCCCCTTGGAATTAGAGCCCTGGCAGATCCTGCTACCCCGGGGCTGCTCCTAAGACAAACCTCTGTTTTCGCCTCTTCTTGCCCCTTCCCCAACCCTGCCTGACCCCTCCTCCCTCCCCTACCTGGCCCTTCCCCCACCCCAGCCGATCTGAACACTGACTCTGAGCTCCTATTTGGTCTCAAGAGCCAAATCTCCTGGTACCCAATCTCCAATCCTAAAGCATATTACGTTATCAACTCTCTCCTCCACCCCCTCCCCAATACGTTTTAGTGTGAACTTAGGGGGACATTTTTCTTTTGTTAAAATATTATTTTAATTGGGGCCTGAAAGGAGGGGCGTCACCCATCTTCTAAACTATTTCCACCTTTGTCCCTCCCAAGCCCCCTCCCTCGCTGTGGGCGCTTTTCTATCCCTCCACCTCTGTACAGGATCGTGCGCGCGCGCGCGCGGACACGCACACACGACATCCTTGGTAGCTAATGCCTTTTGAGGGAGCCTTGATACACTTCCCACGTGCACACCCATTGTTTTTCACTTGATTGTGGTAGACTGGTACAACGTATTAAACGGCAAAATGCTCTTTTATTCCCCCCCAGGAAAGGAAAGAATACTTTAAGAGGGCTGGTTCGTTGGTGGAAGTGGTCAATAGGAAGAAGGGGTTTGGTGTTGTGTGCTGGGTGTTCGTCCCAGAATCGACTTTTCCCCTCCTCAATTCGGATTTTACCTAGGATAAAAGGTGGAAAAAAGGTTGGGAGGCCAGGGGGGAGGTGAGAGTCGGACGTCGCAACTTCCCTACCAATGCTGATATCCCCATTCCGCTCTTTCCTATCACACCCTACCCCCTCACCTCGCCCTTCCTCCCACCACCACCATCTCTCAAATCAGATCTCGAGTGGGTGTGGTGTAAGTGCTGGAAGGACCCTGGAAATGCAGAATGCAAATTCAAGGGGCGGAGACAGAAAAGGCAACGCGCTGGGAGCCTCCCCTCCGTTGGCCCCGCCCCTGGGCCGCCCCGCCCCCAATTCTTGGCGCCAGGAGTTTAGGGTTTAAATGATTGACGGAGCTACTAGTTCAATCAGAACAGTTCTGTTCCCCTAGACTGCGTTTCTTTTTGTAGTTACATGAGCCTGGAAATTTTTTTAAAAAGTTTAATAAATTGTATCCAAAAGTCCGGGGTCTGAGACGTCAACCTGGTTACTAATTCTCTCCACAAGGGGTTAAGGCTTGGCTAAACAATATTTGATGTAGTTTCTTGGTGAGGAGCGCCCTTCTTCCTATCTTCCTTTACTGGCAAGCACGCCATCGTGTCTTCTTGAGTGTAAACTGCAGACACTGTCCACACTTGCAAAGAAACAGGAGAGTTTTCCTGGGGTCTGCCGTGATTCTCAAAACCCCTACTGGTTCTGACTACTGCGCTGCCCTCCAGCTTTAACCAAAGGTAGTCGTTCTCTGGATTGCAAGAGTGAAGAAAGGAGAATTTATACAGGCTTCTCATGCCCCAGAGGCAGGTTTGCAGGGTTTGTGGTTTTTTGGTGGGGTTTTTTGGTTGTTTTTTTTTGTTTTTGTTTTTGTTTTTTTCAAAGGCAGACCCACCAGCCCAGGGGATGTGGATTTGGAAAAGCTTAGCACTGGGGAAAAACGCATGAATTGGTGTCCTGGCTTGGAAGGTAGCACTCTGGGTAACTATCCAGTCATATCCAAAGTATGCAAGGTATCCCTCAGCCGCATCCTGGCCCCATTTCTATTTGCCCAACTGTGTGGTTGGCGTGATGTGGTGAGTGTGGAAGATGCAGGCCCGGGGAGCACACGTGCACAAGGGCTGAGGAGCAAAGAGGGTGCACCCAGCTTCCCAGTTCAGCCCACTCCACACGCACATGTTTGTCCCAAGAAAGATCCCCTATAGATTTTTCTGCAGTGCCTTCCTCAACCCCCACCCTCAGAGTGACTTTGAGCCAACACAAAGCAGCCTGCCTCCCTCCCCGCCTCCGCCTCCTGCCTCTGCTTCAGCCAACTCCACCCAACCCAAGGCAGGTGCCTGGCCGGCTGCAATTGAGGGTTGGCTGCGCTCCACTGTGGCAGAGGCCCACGCCTTGCTCCAGGGCAGATCGGATGGGGCTTGGTACTCCTGGAGAGGGCCTCTCAGCTGGAGAGCTGTTTAGTGGGTCCCCCAAAAGTTGAAGATGGCCCCGAGATAGTTCTTTTTTTTTTTGAGAGAGAGATTTTCACTGTAGCGCGCGTGCGCTCGCCAGACAGACAGAGAGAGATATAGAGACAGAAAGCGAGAAATCACCCCCCAGGGGGGATGGCCACACCGCAATCCCTTCTCCTCCATTCGCCTCTCGGGATCTTGGGCAGGCACGCACACGCGCCCGGCGTGTGTTTTAAGCCACCGGGTCCAGGACACGACCCGCGGTCGACTACGTGGGAGTCCAGCGACATAGCCATTATGCTAACTGCTGGTTCCCCCGAGATAGTTCTTAAGGAGAGCATAATGTGCAGAAGGAGAGTGTCTTTTTGATCCTTTAGCCAAAATTTCTGCTCCTCAAATCACCTCTCATCTACCCCACCATGAAAATCTGAGCAGTGCAAACATGAATTTGTCCCTGCCTCCCAGAGGTGGACGATTCTTACACACACACACACACACATATTACATATCATATCTATATAATAATATAGTGTGTGCATAGTATATATTATAATTCTTTAATATATCATATAAATACTGTATTTTATATTTATAATATATACTATATATAACTGAACTATATATAACCCCCAAAAGGTGGATTTCTGGAATCAGAAATGGGGAGTTGACTAGAGCGGGTGGCAAGCAGCCAAAGCTCCTGGAGGGAAGAGAGGGAAGAGGGAGGGCAGGCAGGCAGAGACTGGTGTTTTGCTAGGTGCGTTGCTGAGCAACTGGAGAGGGAGTCTGCTGGAGAGCTGGGTGCTGAGCGCTCGCCTGGCCCTGTATTTTATTTTGGCCAGTTCAGGGGCAAAGATAGATACAGAAACAGAGGTCAGGGCTTGTGAGGCTGGAGGGAGGCGAGAGACAGGAGCTGTTGATTGGGCCAAGCTCAACAAATAGCTTGGGTCAGGCCTCGCTTTTGGCATTGTTTGGGGGCAAGGGGCCTTGTGGCTTTGTGGGCTGGCACTCAGAGTCCTGGCTAGGGAGTCTCTCCTGTGCTGTGAGACAGAGATGCAGGGGGCAGCAGGTTCTGGGTTTCAGTTCTGCCATTGAGAAATAAGAGACAGGGACAGAAAATATACTTCTGGAAAAGAAAGAAAGAACAACATTAGCTACATAAAAATGAATTAAGCCTTTGCTTCTTTGAGGGTTTGGCCTCCATCACCCTGGCTTCAACTCTAAGCCAGGTCCAAATGCCATGGTGAAGTCAAGTTCCAGAGTTAGGTTTATTGGCCAAATTTATGTCTGGGTTGAACAAGATCATGGAAAACTGAAGAAGCCAGATTCCTTTCCCACCCACACCCCCTCCCTTTGAAACAAGTCTTTGAGAGCCTGGCTGCACCGTAAGCCAACCAAAACGGGAGTTTGAGAAGACAAGAGAAGGCACTTTAACTTGACTTTTCCTGCCACCCCGCCACTCTTTCAAAAAACCCTTCCTTCTGCTGTGTCAGCTCAACCCGGGGAACAAGCAGTTTGCCACAGTGAGAGCTCATTCTCTTTCCATTTCTCTTTTTTCCTTCTCCTCACTCCTCCCTCCCTCTCTCTCTCCATCTCCATCCCCCAGGGCTTGAGTTTTAAGTCTGAGCAGCTGTGAGCTAGTTCTGGGGTTGGGGCTGGATTTGAGCTGGCAGGTGGGCCTGCAGCTGCAGAAGGAGGAGCGGGCTGACCCTGGGAGCCAGAGGTCACCAAGAGAGTTACAGCAGAGGGCATGGGGGCAGGAATCCCAGAAGTCACCTTGGTCCCTTAATGGAGAGGGGAGGAGCTAGCAGGAAAAAGTCATAACTTGTGTGAAGTTTTTATTTTGTTCCTGAGCAAGGTCTATGAAACTTTAAGATATTTAATGTGTGGAAAATAAAACTCGGGAGAAGGGATCACCACTCTCCAGATTCACTGCATCCAGAAGCTGGAAGAACATAAATCACCAGGTACCAACATGGGAGGGGCCCAGAGCAGAAGGAAGAGGGCAGCAGGGACAGGTATGCGACTTGGAGGGATTTTGTTCCCCTCTAGGCTTTATGCTTTTATTATGGAAGGTTAGTTACAATTCCTAGAGATCATCCTTAAATTGTAATCAGGGCATGTTATTCAAAACAATAAGATTGATTCACATTTGCAGAAAGAAATAAGCAAGAAAAGCAGTTTAGGCTCCATCCCCTTCCCTCCAGTATCTAGAGAAGCTCTCTGCCTCTGTTTCCAGTTACGGGTTTTGTTAGGATGTCATTTCTTTTTTCTTTTCTATTTTCTTTTTCTTTTTTTATATAAATCCAGAGGAATGACAGAAACCTCTGCCTTTCCTGCCTGGCCACTCGGCCTAGCGTCTCTCCAGGAATTGTCTGGGTATTAGCCAAAGAATGTTAAAGCTGGAAGGAGCCCACGGCAGTCATCCCAGTCAAGGGCCTCATTTTGTGGATGAGGACACTGAGGCCCCGGTGAGAAGTCCCTTGCCCAAAATGAGGTGGCACGGTCAGTGGCAGAGGTAGGGATTCAACCCAGCTCTTCCCAGGGAGTCCAGCCTCCTTGCACCGTTCCTGGTTTACTTCACTAGTCACGAGGGCTCTTGCCTGGGCCTGGCACAACCTGCAATGAGGCCCTTAGCAAACATCACCAAACACTCTCATCAGATGGTGGGGTGGTGAGGACGAAATGAGTTCACGGTCTGGGTGTACTCTGTTTTACTAGCAGTAGGGGGAAGGAGTGAA